CACATATATGGAGCTTGGAGCTCCTGTGTGGGTTGTGTGTGTGTGTGTGTGTGTGTGTGTGTGTGTGTGTGTGTGTGTGTGTGTGTGTGTGTGTGTGTGTGTGTTTGTGTGTGTTTGGGTGGGTGTGTGTGGGGGGGGGACCATGTAGTCTGAGTGAAGCCTGTGAAGAGAGCTCATTAAAGGCTCAGACACCACAGGAGTTCAAACCATGCATGATTATTATGCCTCGGTTAGCATGGAAAAACACCCCTGAAATAGAGTCTGGACCCTTGCATACAGAGCAGCCACTGTGATCAAAATCATTCAGCCAGGCGTATTATTATGTGGCACCTAGAGCTGATTAGAAGTAGACACTACGCATTAGTTTGACATATTCAGTACATCAATATTCTTTGATGGGAGACGGATGGGATGCTGATAGAGCTTAAGTTATGTTCTATCGCCTACAGGAGCTACTCTAACAGACCGTGCCTCTTGTGCTCTTCCAGACATATGTCACATATATGATATATGTAACCTCTAGCCCATCTCATATACATGAAAAGGCGATGCACCATGCAGTGATGGAGCACTCAATGTACCAATAAATGCGAGACGCTGACAAGCCTTGGATAGCTAAATGAATGCACTCGCTGAGCCTGTCTAATTGGCTCCCGGGGTGAGGCCATCACTCACGACAGACCATTTATCCTGGGTTTATCTTCGGAGAGGAGCTAGGGGGCTGTGTGGAAAGGGAGAAGGGGAGTGTCTTGCCATGTGCTGGCAAAGCTAGGGAAATGGGATGGGGGGCGCTGCCATCCAACCTTCCCCTGAGCCTAATCCTTCACCCCGTCCTCAGTCAAAACCAGGATTCGAGGGTGACGTGGCTTAAATCCACTACAAATGAAAACAGACTCCAGCCACCATCTTAATTGTGTCTAATGCCTGGCATTGCTCTGCCTCTCTATCCCTGTGTTTCATCCCCCGCTCTATCCCTTAATCCTGCACACACGCTCTCTCATTTAAAGAGGCACATTAGAAATTGGAGAGGCACGGGTAGCTGTGCTGAGCCAAGCTGCCAAATGGGATTCTCCTTTGATTATAGCTTAACAAGATGAGTTGAGTCCATCCAGGGCTTGCTTTAACACTCAGCTGAGTGGTCGCCATCCTTCATGTGCGACCGTGTGCCAGCCGAGGCCGTGCAGTCAGATGAGCACAGTGGAGCCCATCAGTGCGAATGTCTTGTCTCCTTGCGTGCTGTCATCATTTGCCAAGCTGCTGCATGCCACTACACCACTCCTGTAGACATCGTGGCTCTTTTCTCAAACTGGGACCTATTACATCTTCTCCAGGCCAGGAGATGAGTAGACCTTGACAGATGGCAAGTGTGTAACCCCCTCTGTCTATCCTCAGTAGCTGTCCTTCAGCTTCATCAATCTGCTGTGGCTCTACTATTACCCTACAGACTTAATGAGACCTCGCAGGCTGACAAGAGCAGTCACGCTCAGGGAACGAGGGACGAGCACAAAAATGAGTGGCAGTACAATCCAGCTTCACCTTAAAAAAAAAACACCGAGTGCATTGATTTAATTCATGTAAATACTTAGCCAGATAAAAGATTCCTCACTCTAGCATTCAAAAGTTCCTGCCACCTCTCATATCAACACTAAGCCCCCCCAAAAAACAAAAAAAAAATCCCTCTCTAATTAGATTGCCTTTGATTCAATTGGATCACTCTCCCCTAATACATCATGGATTAGTCAGCTTTCTGTAAATGACAAATGTGATGTGAGTAAAATGTCACGAGGTATCAGTGGGAAAGTGAGTTTTCTCTGCACTGACACAGGATCACAGAGCTCATCATTAATTATGGTCTCGCCTGGAGTTTGGCTGCGAGCTGTAGTTATTCAAGCAGCAGTGTGCATGTGTGTACAGTATGTGTGTGTGTGTGAGAGCAAACACGCCAGGGAGAAGCACTGAGATTGTGGATAAGGGCTGACTGCCATCTCTACAGTTTCCATGGTTCTTCCTAACTTTTGCTGAATGCTAATGAAATGGACTCGGCTGGGCTGTCCTGCGTTCTGAGCTGACTATCCCTATGGCTGTAACACATTTAGCTGAGTAAAATTCAAGTCAGTGGCAACATTGGGAAGCAGAAATGGGTGGGTGATTGAATTGCTACATCTCTATATGCATGCATGATTACCTTCCCTAACTAACTCCCACTGTTGGCTTGGGAACAGTGTACAATCCCCTGACACCCATGACAAGCCCCTTCAACACCTCCCTGTGTCTCCACAGGCACCCAACCAGAAAGCAGGACACCTTAAAGCAAATACATGATTCTTCGCTGGGTGCTGATTGTTAGTGCTGCCAATTATGTTAACTGGGGCACCCGGCCAATCAGGAAGCACCCAGGTCCTGCACCCTGAACCCTTCTTATGCCAAGAAACAGTTATTTTTAGCTCTATCTTTAGAGGTTTCAGAGCAACCTCCTACAAGAAGGACTGCAGTTTAATTCATTTTCTCACAATAATGCCTGTTTTAAAAATGAGAATAAAAGAATAATATGATTCAATTGTGTCATGACAGAGCACTGTGACTGATAACATTTCCAAAGCATGCTGATAAAAGTATAAAAACACATTGTTATGTACCATTTCCTCACAAAAACACAGCTCCTTAAGTTTACTCCACTCTTCCAGAGAGAATAGTTTTTTTTTCATCCTCCCAATATTATGATGAAAATGACTTCTGGCAGGTTACGGTGTCTGAATGTAATGTTCTGGTGCAGCTTGTGAACTCAGCACCCCTACAGGTACATACCTGTCAATGTCAGGCTCTGTGCTACACAAGCCTTTATGGCTTGCACTCCAACCAGCATCCCAATAACTGCATTGTGAAAAACAGATAAACAACTACCGTTTCTCTGAAAAAGGTAATGTCAGTTGACATCAAAACCCAAGAGCAACTCTTTTTTTCCATCCGACTTGCCTACACAAGCATTTCAGATTGGACTCTAGTTTGAATACACATGCATCACATGTGGGCTTCCTTACAAAGCCAAACACAACCTTTCGCTCAGCTGAATCAAGAGCCGAGATGCTCTATGAGGCTAGCAGTTCCACTTCTATTTGTGCGTTTAGCTCACAAAATTGTCTCCCATGATTTAGAAGACATAGCTCATATTGCCAACCTGCTGCCAGCATATTGAGTCAAATTACAGGACTTGGAAAAAAAATAGCGGCCAAGAACAAGAGCAGCAAAGTACTGTTGCAGAAATAATAAAGAAATGCTTCAACACGAAGGGAGATAATTTAAAAAAAGAAAACTTGGCTCAATATATGACTAGGTGCTAGATTGTTCGATTCAAGGGGTAAGGCTTCAGCCACACAGGCCTAGAGACCTCTTGGCAATCTCTGCTCTAGGTCTTAAAAATTAATTTGTTTTCAATTTCAGCCATTAGTAAGAAAATTGTCCAAGAAAAACATGTATTGAACTGAAAATAAAATATCAACTACATTGTAGTATTCTCCCATCTAATAGCTCTATGATATTTTTTGGCCCCAGTCACAAAGACCTAGCAACCAGGTGGTGAGTGCATAGCAACCGTAACTAGGGAAAAATTATATTTATATTGCTTGGCAAGTGACTGCTGCCTTTCACAAATTAGTTTGCTCATAAGGAGATTGCCACAGTTGCCTGCAGTTTGCATTAAAGATGGCAACGTTCCGACAAACACTAACTGGCCAATGAGCACTAAGCTAACTGACCAATGAGCAGTAGTAAAACTTGAAAAAAGTGCAATGCAAGCTGGAAGTGGAAACAATTTTCCCTCAAAGTCAAAGTTGTGCCTTACCACTGAAACTGTAACTCTTCTGCAGGTAATATTTTAGTTTGACTTCAACAGATGGCTTCCTTGGGGAATTTTCTTACTAACGACTGAACCTTATAACAAATAAGCCCGGTGCAAATCAATAGACCAAACTATTAAACTTCTCTTTGATTAGGTTTAGATTGAGTTATTTCTTTATTAATGCAACTTTGTAAATGCTTAAGGCACTGTAAGCCTAGCAAATCAGCTCCCCGTCTAGTTTAATAAATCTAGTTGCCTCGACAACTCTGGTTTTATTCATACTACACATGTGACTAACTATGAATGCAAGCACATTCTTACCCGTAACCTTATTTAGTTAACCTTATTTTTATCTTCTGTTTTGTAATCTGTGTAATCTGTGCTGACTAAAAATTACTTTAGTGTTTACCATGGCAACCTAAACTTACTCAGCTCTTCAAATAACTTAAAAAAGGTCTCCAAACAAATTAAATTATAAATAAAGGACTATAATAATATAACACTCAGGACTATCATTGTACCCTATATAATCATTCCCTCAGGGTCAAAAATCAAGTTATTTTCGACCAACTTAGTACTGTTATCTTATCTATTGTCTTTTTACTATTTGTTCTTTACTTACCCTTGCTCCTCCATCATCTCTTGGAGCTCCATACATTTGAGCTCCACCCTCCTCTTCCTCTCATGGTCCAGAATCTCTCTGTGGGGCTTCTTCACCAGGACAGGCTCTGCTTTGGGCTCCTCCTCCTCCTCCTTAACTGGCTGCCCCTCTTCAGTTTTAGCTTGCAGCACTGTAGTTGCAGTTGGCCCTCCAGATCCTACAGCTGTTCCCGCTCCTACTCCGGGGACAACCGGCTGGGGCAAACCGTTTGCACCATCTTTCGGAGATGGCACCCTTGTTGCATCATACATGATTACTGAATCTGTCGAGACAGAGATGAAAAGACCAAAGGTTAACGGAGAGAGGGGATGAGAGGAGCTGTCACTTGTGGGTCTCACTCACATTAATCATTTAATGTCAGATCTTTCCCTTGTTTTGGGAGGTTCTCACTCAGTGGGAGTAATCTTTATACATTTAGTAAAAAAAATCCCCATCAAAGACCATTTTGTACCCATCTATAAATGTTGTCAGTACATCACACTATCTGAACCAGCAGTAAGCCACAAACAGTCTGAAACTGAAAGGTGAGCGCTTCATTTGATGTTAATATCTTTGGACAGGCTGCAGCATTTCTGCCTGAACTGAGCAGTACGCTTGCACACGCTCGCACCAATATACTGCACCCACGCACGTACACACACAATTTGGATCTTGGGTACATGTGGACATGCACAGCCAGAGAGAGAACTGGAAGTAACTTCAGCTCTGTGAGTCAACAACTAAGTAGTGCCTAAAGGCAGGTTAGGAGACAGAGTGCTTCCTCTTCTACACTCTCGTATCTAGTGGAGCAAACTAAAGCTGTAAACTGTAAAGGTCATATAAAAAACATATGACGTGACAGGGAAAAAACAATGGGAGCAATAAGCAGCTTAAAGACAGAAATGAGTGACAAAGGTTAGTGTGAGAAGAAACTGAATGCCCTGTTTGATTTTGACTTCCTTAATCTTTTCTCTTTCTGCCTCATTTACTCATGAAATGGTGAGAATGTCATTTTGTTAATAAAAAAGCATCTGGTGGAAGTGTTGTGTGGACTGGACTCTGATTATGACAGACTGTTCTTTTAAGGCCAGTGCTGAGCGCACAGGAAGAGTGGAAGGGCTTATAGCGTGCCCGCGAGCCTAAGCTCCTCTCCCTCTACAACTAATGACTTCATTTTTCAGTGCGGAGGCACAGAAGGCCAGCTGAGGCACTTCATCACTGCCACACATTGAGGACTCAAGACAGGTTGATACTGAAGCTGGATGGACAGATTCTCAGAGCTACAGTCACAAGCCATTCCCTTTTCTTTTATCTAATCACAGGGAGTGTGCGAACAAGCTAATGCTGTGCCGTCTCGCGCTTTTGTGCATTTGAGCTGCTCCTGGTAGTCTTTGACTGGTTAATAGGAATGTGCTTGTGTTCTGGAGTGCCGTGTGCTGGTAAACAAGCTGTGGATGTGTGCGTAGCAACACGGCTCTCGGGTGACAGAACAGGTGGCAGGACAGCAGGAGGCATCATCTCTGAATCTATTATACAGTAAATCAGCGCTTGATATTCCATGACAGTAATCTCTCATCTGCACACGCTCGCCTGCAGAAGATGGTAAGGAGAAAAGCTCTCATCTTTAAAAAGGGTGTTTAAAATGACATTCAGGCAGACAGCAGCAACACACAACTGGTGAAAAGACAGGAATATGTGATATATGAATCACTCTGTGAATAACAGACAGTTCATTTAGATGTGAAATGAAATGTAACTTAATGTGCGTGTATTTGTGTGCTTACAGAGTAATTTACATTCATGCATCCCACAGATTCAACAAAAGCACAAGCAAGAACTCACATGCACTTATGGAACATTAAATTTAAAGGACTTAATTATTAAATGACAAGAGAAAAATGAAGCAACCCACATCTTAAGTAAAGAAATGTGCCGTTTATGTTAATTTGCATAGCTCTTTGGCTACAAAGAGAGCAGGGTTGTGGGTTTGGAGATGGACTTAGGGGAGAACTATGGATAACGCCATACGTGCTGTAGACTGTGTATAAAAGATAGACCAAAAGATAGACCACTGTGAGGTCTTGATTTGAAGCTTTGAGCTGAAGAATCACTATCTTTGTGTTTTGAAAGCAGATGTTATAAAGAAGGTGGATCAGACTGAGAAATACAGGGGTTAGGGTTAGACCACACTAAAGTATACCCTGCTTTATTGTGACCACAAATTACAAATCATTTCCCATCATATGATATTTAACAGGACTTGAAGTTGGGATCATAACCTAAGCGGTACGATTATTTTCTTGTAGGACTGGAGTTCTTTTTGCTCCCAGAGAATCCACACCCTGTGGATCATTAAAATTCCCCATCAACTTCTCTTCGCTCTCGTATACAGTCTGTGGTTTATTCTGGAAGTCCTGTCTTGGCCTACAAGAGATCCACGAGCCCTCCCCATAAATGTCACAACATGCACACATCCCACCATTAAAGGCAGGCTCATTCTCAGCAAGGTTAAATGAAATGATAACATCTGAAAATCAGAGCAAAAGGACCCTCCCATTCCAAATTAAATTCTTCACCAGATGTAGAGCCTGGCCCACATCTGTCGTTACGTTAAACTGGAGCCTCCTCATTATATTAATCCATCATTCCTTTTTTTCCCGGGGAGATGGGATGGGCAGAGAATCTGTTTTCTTTCAAGTTAAAACAACTAAATTATTTAATTGTGTGATAAAAAGAAAAAGTCAGAGCAGAAAGGGAGACTTGTCATTGAGCCGATAAGGCACACAGCTAATTGTGTGCGAGTCCTCTGCAGGGACTGAAGGTTATCTCTAGCTGCTGTATTAATGCTGGCACTGACCTCTTCTGCTATTATTGCAAAGGCATATAAGACTGTCACATCCCGACAAACACTGTCTGTAATTAGTCATGTGCTAAGTGAAGTTGTTTAGCCGCAAGCACAAAGTGCCGCCATCAATTATTTCAAATCCCAAACAGATTAACACACACTTGGACATTCAATACTCTGCTCCAGAGCCTGTGACTCGTGCCATTTCTTTAGAAAGAGAAGAAAGAAGGCTGCACTGCTGTGTCCTTAACCTCTGTCAGTGGTTTTCCTGTGCTGTCTGCTTGATTGGACGTTGCCGCTGGGGAGGCCTCTGCTGTGTCTATACTGCAGCCTGTCTTCTGCTGACATTATGCAACATGCAACAAAACAAGCCCACAGCGGAAAATGATATCCACACACGGCTGCCATGCAAAGTACTGCTCATCACTAAATGCTGAAAGATTGCCATTATTTCCATGCAAGCATTGTGATCTCTGAGTTAAATTGTCGCTGGCAACCAGAGATGGGCAGCGCTGTAATCTGATTACTTTTTTCAAGTTACTTGACCAACACTGCTGGCAACCCATCCAAGGCTGACTCATCAATGCATGCAGCGGATGGATCACGCACTTAAAGCTCAATTAATAAGGATAACATTCACAAAGTGGCCACACAGTGAAAAAAAATCTCTTTCTCATTAGGAATCTAATGTTATATTAAGCTAATGAGATATTTCAGAGGACACTGCCCAGACTGAAATAATAGTGAAGTTTTGGGGGGGTTTCCAAAGGGGAATTTTTGCCTGTCTGAAAAGCAAATAATATTTGTCCTACCCTCTCCAGCCCCTATGAGTTTCAGGCTACTGGGATCTTTCAATATTTTGCCTGTCTGCCTCTTTGAATAGCTTGCAGGTGATGACAGGACATCCCAAAACTACAATGGAAAGACGATGTCTTTACACTGACACCACTGGTTTTCATTTGAGGAAGTAACCTTCCTCAAATGAAAACATGAAATACACACAAATGCTGTATTTCTGCCTGATTTTCTGTCATCAAAAGTTTGCCCAGAAGTTTGAATTGCGTTCCAGTTGCATCATTTTCAGGTGAAAATGCGCATTCATTTGCAGATTTTTGAGAAATGGAGTTAAAGGTAATTGATGATATCAATTCCCTGCTCCATACTTTGATTCTTGACTCACAGTTCAAAATGATCCCATTCCTGTCTTATGCTTTCTGCAGATTTTTCCACTTATCCACTGGCTGTAACAAGATGTTTTAGCTAATCTCCTTTTCAGCCAGCTGTCTCCCGATTGGCTGCCCCCCCCCCCCAAACAGAGGCATTGTATAGCAGGTAGGTAAATCTCTTCAAATTAAAACAAGTGCACCTTTGTAACATGGCATCAACATATATGCAATCGAGAGTTGAGTACTTTCTTTTTCATGGCCTCTGTTATTTTTTTTTTCACTTATGGATTGGTTCCACCAAAGCTGGTGGGAAATGTGGAGCTCCTTCAATATGCAATATGCTTTCTATATCTGACTATAGGAATATTTTTGCAGTTTGTATGCTACACCAGAGCTCTCTGAACACAGAACATATGTGGGGCCATCTGTATACTATCTTGACAGACCTTTTCATGCAAACATTGCTCTATATTATTAGGACAGAGAAGAATAAACTGAACCAGAACAGGGACAAGATGATAATATTTGTTTCAGCAATAAATTATTAGATATGTCACCTATAACACTGACATGAAATCAATAAGGGAGTAAAATGTAGGTTAGGCACTGCTGAATTACTGGCCTCTACAGTGATCCAGCTTCATATTAGAAATCCTTTTAGATTTATCTTCTGCTACCTTCACTTCCTGAGTGTCTAATCTCTGTCTGTTGATAGGTTAATCGGGCTGGCTTTGTAGCTCCAGAGGAAAAACATGCAAACACAATAAGACAGTGGGCTTCAATTTGCATTGTGTATCAGGGTTGTTTAAGTACTTTCCATCTCAGTGGTTACAAAAAGAAAAGAAAAAAAATTCTGAGAGGTGGTACTGGTCTCCTTGGAGCCACTTCCTCTCTAAAAGCCAACACTCTCTAACCCATCACCCCTTTCTCAGAGCATGTCAGCATGTTAATTTGTGTATGTTGTACACAATGGCACCAATGATTGGATCTCACTCAGTGGATGCACCTCAGCCATGATTATAGGGTGGCAGTAACAGGGGGCCTGACCTTGACGGAGCAGAGAGTAGCTGCAAAAAAAGACAAAAACACACCCTGGGTGGCTGTCGCCTTCTGGATGCATTTTCCATCATGCTTTCCCTCCTTCGAAAATAATCTGCCCCGTGGCTGGAAGCTTCTGGTTTGTTTTTAGCACTTTGGCACCCAGAGGATGTGTTTAGCTTCCCAAAGGTCAGCTGTCTTGATTCCAGACACGTTGGTTTGCTGTTGGATGCT